AAATTGTTGCTTATCAGTGACGTGGCGGCACTTGAGTCAAATATTTCCCAAAACTCAAACCGTCCCTCCAACGTCTATCAGCCTTATCATGCACAACAGGCACAACAGCTGCTGGCATTTGTTGCCAGAGTTTCCGTTTGTCTCTGAGCCTTCCAACTCCGGGTCAGACGACTCAGCTACGAGTGGTTATCATCACAGCAGTTTGTCACCTTCAGCACTGCAGCGCGGTGATGACTCCAAGTCTGAGTGTCACCACCGTGCCCTTTACTATGCCAGACCATCCGGCGACTCCAAGTCAGAGTTGCCAATGCCAGCAACATCATTTGAGTCAGACTACTTAGTGTCCAGTGGCACTGGCACTCACTGTGATGGTCGTGATAGTATTACTACCTCCAGCAATTATAATGCAGAACGGTCCACCCTCCATACGCAGCAGTACACAAATACCACAGCTGGCTGTTCCAATGCATCCAAGTCATTTCAGCAAGGTTGTATAGTAATCAAGTTTACTGGTAGTTGATTGACTCAGTGTTCTAGGTAATTTAAACCTAACTTGTAGTATCTCCCATTCAAAACTCCCCGACACTATATGATTCTGTGGTGGAACTAGTATCAACCCTGGTTTTCACCTTCCTCGCACTGCATGGCCCACTCATCCGCAAGTTGGGGTAGCTACTTCCACAGACCCACTGGAGGGAGAAGGTCAAGTTAATCTTGATGATGTATTCAGGTTGGATCCCCATGTCATCTCCCAAAGACCTGAACAATCTCTTGAAAATCATGGATTCTGTGTAAACAATCCCGAACCCCAGATACAGGCTGTGTCTTTGAGTTGGCTACCGGAGTTTTCATGCAATGACCCCTGGCCAGTGCTGATGCCAGATTTAGACTCATATTACCCCGATCACTACCAATCACCACAGACACCATTGATGCCAACCTCTCTTGATCCGGACCACATTCAATTATATGAACAGGGTTACTGTTATCCCAACCATAGTATTAATGCTCATGCAACTGACACCATCTCCCAAGGAGTGTCGAGTGGCCTACCATTGCATGATGCATGCTCACAACCGCCTTCTCATTGTTGATCATCTTGTTATCACACTCCTCTGATAACCAACAGTATCCTCCAGAAGAAATCTGGCCCATCTTATTCACAGCCACAGCTTTCTTAATATCAACCAGGCTATTATGATTGCGGTTTCGAGTATCATGGGTTATCCCAGGCCATCCCAGAGAGGCATTGTTCTCTGGAGGACAACTTACCATCATCATTGTTCACACTTCAAGGTCAAGGTACTAAGTTGCAGTTATTTGGATCCCAGGATTCATGCGGCAACACTACCCTTCCTCAAATATGCGAACATGAGTCTAAGCACACTCCACCCTCTTTTCTCATGCCTAAAAACCGTGGAGTAGACAATATGACAATTGACTTTTTTAAGTCTTATGCTAAAAGCAGCAGCAGTGCTACCTCTAACTTGTTTGAAGAACAGAGATGTATTATCATTTATTACCCAGAGATTGTATGTAGTTCTCCCCAACTAACTAACTCGTCTGACTCTAATTCAGCCTCAGGCAATTTGCGCATTCCTTCATCTTTGAATCTTCCTCATAACCAAGTTCCGTTTAACGTAGCACAACTGCCACACTCTGAGTGTGGGACACTTCCGTCATTTTCTTGTGAGTCTCATGGCGCTCCCAATGAAAGCTGGCCGTCCTCCCTACCAGAATGCGATAATTTAACTCCTGCAATGTGGGCAGACATACCCTCAGATTCACATTTCAAAGAATGTTGTTCTTCCATCAGTATGTTGCATCATTGATCTCAAAATACACCAAAAAATAACTTCAGGTTTTTCAGTCTCTGACAGTACTTTGCCTCAATACCAGCAGCACATCACCCATACCACAAACAAGGACTTAGGAATACTAGATCATGATGAAATATATATGCCAGCAACATCCAACTACAGTTCTATCACTTACCCGGGGCAGAATTTAACTCCCTCAACTCACACTTTAGGTACATACTGCATGGAGGGCAATGCCGGAGAGCTCCTTACGGATGTGCCACATGGTATAACCCGTATAGTGCTTGAGCATGCTTGCCAATACCATCCCTTGATTCTTTCATATGAAGACTTCCTGGCTTCCGGAAGTTCTGCTGTGACCATTGCCTATCATGCATTTCATCTTGCAGTTCAAACACTTGTTGGTAGTGGTAATTGCCAGTTCCCTAAAGCACCTAAGCACCTTCTGATACTGATTGAGCAGGTCTTGAATTTGGAAAGTGTATGTACTGAACATGATCCTCACAATTTGCTGACTAGTTGACGTCAGATTATTGCATGAACAAGATACATTTGACCAATGTTTGTAGAATCCTCCCAGGTAATACTACTGATAAATCAAAACTAATAGTGATTGTGCTAGCTTTATCAAGAGGCTTCTTTATTTTTATCTTGCAATACTGTGCGAAGAAAAGTAGAAAAAGTAATGGAACCAAACAATGGGGCTCATCTCACCAAATCTGATGGGAAGAGGCCCTTCAGGTATCTGTCTTTCAGTGATGATTGCGCCCCCCTTCCTGAAGAGATAAGAAAACGGGTTCAAGCCAAACTCAAAGATAACAGCTACCTTGGTACTGGAGTACATTATCAGTTATCTGATGTTCTGTTAATGACCCTCAATTATATGATTATATTCCTTCTAGGATAACTATCTTCAGTCACCAGACTTGGTACTCATCCTAGCAAAGCTGACGAAATATACCGGAAGGGGCCATCCTCGTACAACATTGAGGGACTGTGCTAATCCTTACAATCCCTTTATAAGCAATGTTCTAAACCCTAGTGTCATCATTTCTATTGCTGCAATTGTATGTATTTAACAGTATGACCTACATTGCACATTACTGATTTTGTTCTAGGCGAAGGTTATACTACAGTGCAGATTCAACACCGGGCTTTCTGATATTTGTGACCATACAGATGAGGATATTGATCATGAAATCCAAGTCAATATTACCACGTTGACACGGAGACTGCAAGAAAAGCTAAAAGACGCTCAATTTCACTACAAGTTCATGGATAACTTCCTGGCTTCATCATAGTTTACAATGTACTCAGCTTGCTGATATGCCCACATGTTTAGTCCTGTTTGTGTAAACAGCAGCCTACGCCTATGATCTATCAGTCCCTCCTCTCACCTCTTTCCTATTCCTTTACCGTTCGGACTTTACTCTTGTGCAAGGTATAGTCTGAGGTCCCTTTCAGGCTTTCCCTTGTCAGAATGAATTACTGGATATTATTATATGATAAATGTTGCTTGGTGTACGTTCAAGTTCCAGTCCCAAGTTTGAGTCTAAAAGCTCGTGCTGGTATGGCCCAGTGACTGGGTTTGATTCAGGTACTAATCAATTTCAAATTGCATGCTAGGGGGCTATTCAGATATATATGGAATCCATTTCCCATTTACAAATGCGAATAAATATACCCAAAATATGTTGTCTGTGGTGTCACTGGCCGGGCCTAAGTGCAGTATAAGATGCGAGGACGGAATAAATTCATTCCATACAAGGGTTCAGACTGAGAGGCCCCTCTTTCAAATTTACGCCTCCACTTATACCCAGGCCAGTCAGTACTAGTGGCACTGTCAACAACATGCAAAAAACTACTCTCTCTCTCTCCACCTCATCTAATAGCTTACTTCAGCACACTTCCTTACCTACACCTACAGCTCAATTACAACCTTTCGGGTTGAAAAGAGCTGCTAGCCCTACATTCCCCAGTCCTAACAACTTGAAACTTACCTCACCCCTGTTGCCTGTCAGCAAAATATGCTTCTGTTATGGCACATCCAGAATAAAACAACACGGGGACTATACCAAGTACTCCCAAGTCAAAAGAAATATTGCGGATGACAACAAGGAGTCACTGGCAAGGCCAAGGACTCAACCACAGAAAGAAGGGGAATCAGTCAAGATTCCACCAGACATTTTTGACTGGTCAAACATTCCACTATTCAAAAGGCCTGTTTATAAAGTAAAGTATAGTATTCTTTTACTTGTTCTCTCCTGAATGACCGTCACTTTCTCTGTTCATTATCAAGTCGTTTGTAATAGATGGGGCATAGTACCATTGATTACAAAAATATCTCACCAAAGGTCGCACAGAGTACCGAATGCTCAGGTAATTACTCTCACCAGCCACAAGGCTTTCCTTACCTGGCTTGGAGCTCATGCTACATTAGATGGACTTATGACTACGACACCAAGATCTTAGGAATGACCGCACCTTACCCGGTTCACAATGCAATGATCAATTGGATTCAGCAATATTTTGCTCTTGTTCTCCCATGTAATGTATACGGGTGTATTGATTGGGGCACAACAAGGATAGATGGGCCCGGGCTGGGGCCGATGAAGTTTGATCCAAAATAGGGCTTAGTACTGGATGGTATTGTAACGCTGAATATACGTTCCCGTGACGGAGTTGCAGGGTTGCTTCATCTCAACTTGCTCTGCCTTGAGGTCGCCTTCTCGCAGTCGTTGCCAGACATCAAGCGCAAGGTTGCCAAAATGCTACACAGGAATCCTCACCTACTAGCTGGGGTTATTATCAACCTTGTGGAACATTCATACCAGCCTCCAAGTTGCCCACCGAAGATGGATGATGAGATATTGCACGGGAGTGTAATGGGTGGTCTCATGGAGACTAGCCTGCTTAGTCCCTGTGTGGTGTTTCATGACAGCATGATGTTTACTGGCCAGTTTGACGTCAATATTCACGTGATTTACCCGCGCAACGTGGATCTGAATCATTCTACTCATGCGGTGTGCTTGCTGACTTTCGTTCATTGTGAGAGTTTACTAATTCATTTTTTCTTCTTTTTTTGCATAGCTTGTATATCCTTGTGCAGAGGAAAACGGACCTGCCATTTGACGCTTGGAAGATGCATTTGATCAGATCACCGGTGCTATCAACAATATTATGTCTGCATTAGATGATCCATCTATCCCTCGACATTATCAAATAGATATTGATCGCGATCTTCTCCCAAAAGTCAAAGAAGTGTTCATGGATGTCAGTAATAAACTGATGTTTGGTCTTCCGGAGTCACCTCAAGAAGAACTTATCCTGTCTTTCCCCAATTCTCCGCTTTCAATTACTTTGTCTCCTTTAACTTCTTTATCCCCTTTGGCTTCTCCCCCTCTGACTTCCTTTCACTCAACTTCTCTCATACAGAACGGATGATGCCAAGATTGGAATGGGATATGGAAAGAGCTACTTCTTTACCTTTCCAACGGCATCACAGACACCGCTCTTCTCAGGTACAACTCCTGGTATCATAGTAGTGAGAGTGATTATGATCCCCGATGCCCGTCCCCCACCAGTTTTAGATCTGTTAGTGTGCACTCTGGCAGAAGCAGGAATGTGACAGAGAGAGCTATTCCTAATTCAACTCCCAGAGGCCGTGCAAACCCGTCAGGAAGGCGTTCAAACTCGACGAGGGGGCGCAGTCCTACTCCTATTAATAGGGGCTGGACAAATGATGTTGGTATTAAAAGGAGTGCTAGGAGGCAAAATATGGAGCATGCAAGAGCACAAGGTACTACTAATCAAAGGCGCGGTTGATGATTTTACTTTTTCTCTGCTCAGAATCTTTATTATGTCCATTTTTACACCCCATCACCTATACTTGAAGGACCTGGTTGTGGATCATTCACGGTGTGTACAGTAGCGTCTATGTTGTGCCTTTTGAGAAGTCCCTTGCATTGTATAATTCATATTATTGTTTCCAATGCATCTGAAGCGTGGTCATATAGTTGTAGCTTGACTTGACCAGTAAAAAGCCATACAGTGTCAGTGGTGAATTTTGCTATTATCAACTTCTCAAAGTTGTCCAGCTTCAGACAGGGGAGCCAGGTGATACCGTAAGTAGACAGTGAAGCTCAGTCTATAGATAAGTCTCCATAATTTGCTTGGCTATCACTGCTATAATTCCCTTTATTCAGAAAATAGAGCGAATTGGAGTATCTCAGAGAATACATTCAAAATCCGAGTACTGCCCCAGCTGTCACAGTGGTGGAGCATTCAAGCTTCAAATATGTCAAGCTCTAAGAGCACTGTTCCAATGGGCCAACTGGGGCCGTTCTGACCTAATCAGATAATCAGATACCAATCTCAATTTCAGTCACTTGATTTTCAAGAATACATTCAGGCCAGGCTACGATCACAATGTTACGAGCTGGTGCTAGGAGATCCATCCACTGATATAATTTACTAAAGGTCCATTTCAATCAACAACTCGTTCACCGACTCCAGCTGCACCTACAACTGAACCGTCAGCTTCCCAGGTATATTCACTGTTGATATCCACAATCTTGTGAGCTAATGTTGTACTTCAGTTTCATTGTAGTCCACTGAGGGAAGAATTTCTGAAACCACCCACAGACATCACCCGCTTGCTGGCTCTTGTTTACACCTCTCGGGATGAACACTTTGCTGAAAAGGTAGCTGCTGAGCAGCAATATTGGCAATATATGATGCAGCTGCAGATGTACAAAGCAGATCTCATAGCTGCCGTTCAAGGATGCCATCAAGCCGAGGAAGATATCCAGGGTCTTCGACAACTAGTTCACCTTCAAAGATGTGCGGTATACACTAGCACTCTGAGGACTTGGAGTATTAGATCTGACTCACCATATGATTGCATGGCACACACTTTTTGTTCCAGACCTATCTTTACATGCAGTACGCCTGCAATATTATTACTGCTCAGTGGTTCGATTCAGGACTGATTGTACCATCATTTTACATCCATACCAATGTAAGCCAAAGCCCAGGTTAAATTTGTAGGATGCCAAATATATTTATTTAGAGCAGTTTGAGAATACAAGTTGATAAAACACCTAGTTGAGTAGTAGCAATGTAATAAGTAATAAAACTATGTGAAACTCAGCCGCTGCCCGAAAGGCTATAGAAACAACTGTATTATTTACCTATGTGAAACTACAATTGATGTTAGTTTAAGGTAATCTCCAATAAATGTAATGTAACATACCTCAGCCGCTGCCCAAGAGGCTATAGAAACGACTGAGGTATTTTTATACTAAACCCCCTACTATTTATAGTTGGAGGTGCTACTTGCTATAGTATAATGACTCCTAGGAGTACAATTGTGCTCCTAGGAGAACAATGGTGACTTCATGGAGTGGTGGCTATGCTCATGGAGAACAATGGCTGCTTTGGCAGAGACCGGGTTTATCTGGTTTTGTCACGTAGTTCACCTATATTGTCTTGTTTGTTTCTCTCTACTTGTTAATTCATCAGTTAAAATCCAACACTATTTTAAATTTTATCCCAAGTGAAGAAAGAGCCTATGCCATACCATGTATTAAAATATATATTCTCCCACATGTATAAAGGTCTCATTCTATATGCACTTGGACATTATCCCACATGTATAGAGTAATGTCTTATCCCATATCACTGTGGGGATCGACTTATATAAGCCCAGCTTATATGCTGAAAATATTCAATTTTAGCTTTTTTCAGCCAATCAAAACACAGATATCCAATATCTTCAGCATATAAGCTGAGCTCATATAAGTCAATCCCCACAGTGTATGTACTTAAGTCCCATCTTATATATATTTAGGCCTAGAATAAAGCCTTATGAGGTGATATGTTTGAGGTACTAATTATGAGACCATGTTACCTAGGCAGAGTTCATATTGTTATTGAGGACTATGGAGGGCACCATTGTGTAGTTAGAATATCATATTTTCAATTGGGGAGAACCATAGAAAAATCCTATGTGGCTTTTGAAGATCTGAATATGCTCAGCAAAAGTTATACAACCATACACATATAAGTGACAAATAAGAGAGTTACTTATTGTATATATTAGTGTCTTAGTATCAAACTAGTCTAATATATACTAATATCTGGGATGTGACCTACATAACTACCCCATACACACAGCTAAATCCACTTGGGATAACTTTAATAAGCCTAACTTGAAATGGCCTGTCCCATATTAGATTTTAGCATGTAACCTCTAAGTGTCACCTGACCACAGGGAGTGCATAAAAGCAAAGTGGACCAGCTGGGGATTGAGCCCAGGACCTCTACCTATATATAGTGGTGCTCTACCAACTGAGCTACTAGCCTTTGTCCAATACCAACTCAGGATGTATGTTGTCTAACAAGGCTAATAGGATTTGACCTTGACTATTCTAATATCCCAACCTTTACTTGTCAGCTTTGATCATCTAGTAAAGTCCAATGGCTTAGCACTTGGGAGCTAATAGGCACTAATAGTGAGTGAAGAATGAGGATTTTAGCAATGACAAAGACACTGGTGGAGAACAAATAGAAAGAACTTATCTGAGTGAGAACATTTTGCAGATGACTAATAGTTTCATCAACCTGACTGGTAAGAGAAGTAGCATAAGCAAAAAAAGTGCTGTCCTAGTTTGAAATCAGTGATAAGTTACAGCTGATTTGGAAAATGTTGGCTGCACCAACTTTGTCTCTTGCGTCTGTTCTAGCTTAGTAATATGATCTGAATTCCAAAAAAGGAAATAAGGTGGAATCTCTAGTATGTACTATAGTGTGCTGCAGCCTGCAGTCTAGCATGTTCCTTGTAGTATAAAGTCTCTACTCTTTACTAATGAGAATCTTGTCACATTGTTAGCAGCTGCAGTCTATCATGTTCCTTGTAGTATAAAGTCCCTACTGTTTGCTAATGAGAATTTCGTCACATTGTTAGGTGCTGCCACTGCCACTCTTTAGAAATGATTCCTTACACTCAAGAATAAAGCTCCCTGCTGCCGCCATGTCATGATCTTGCTCCAAGGTTGTAAGTGCCGTTTTACCCTTCTCATTTTGTGAATCATTGACTTACAAGCTAGTAATAGTGATCCTAACACCATCCCTCCCATCTCTATCCTCCAAGATATGCCCAACAGTGAGGATAGCCTGGATGAGGCCGATATTCAAGCCATCTACCCACCATATCCACTGGTGCATAGGCCACCAATTAAACCCGCTGTTCTGCCAATCAAACTGGCCATTCTCATCCCTCTACCCCCTGCTCCTGCTTCAGCCCCTGTCTGTTGCACAGGCCACTCAGATTGAAGGTGAGAACAAGTATGATTAGGAAGTTGAGGGTGGACTGACTACGGAAAAAGTGATTATAGTCTGGTGTACTAGTTTAGCATACGCATCACAATGTTTGAGCAGAAGCTAGACGTCGAAATAGAGGATTTAGCTAGTAAGATACTGAACAAATAAAAGCCTGGCTTGTGCATTATGCATAAGAGCATTGCATGCTTCCACCATTGGGCTGGTGACCTACATTTTGAACTGACACACCCCCACTGTATGGTTTGGGCCACTGCTATATTGAAAGGTGATACTACACTTGAAAAAATCCCTACTGGATCACTGTTGTTCAAAGTAAAACAAGCGTTGAAGGTACATACCTTGACAGAAAAGAGGCCCCCCAGATCTCCTGCTGCAAAAACCACCACCGCACCACTCCCATCCTCAATGCATTTTCCCTACTTCAATCTATCTGCTAATCCTCTTGCATTCTCTCCATTTGTTGGTTACAACCCTTTAACCGCTTTTCCAATGGGATTTGGTATGCCAATGGGTGGAATATAATAAACCTAAGTGAAACTCAGCCGCTGCCCGAGAGGCTATAGAAACAACTTTATTATTTACCTAAGTGAAACTACAATTGATGTTAGTTTAAGGTGATCTCTAATAAATGTAATGTAACATACTTCAGCCGCTGCCCAAGAGGCTATAGAAACGACTGAGGTATTTTTATACTAAACCCCCTACTACTTATAGTCAGAGGTGCTACTCACTACAGTATAATGACTCCTAGGAGAACAATGGTTACTCCATAGAGTGGTGGCTATGCTCCATGGAGAACAATGGCTGCTTCGGCAGAGACCGGGTTTATCCGGTTTTGTCAGAATATATGTGGGAATGAGTGTGGGAATGAGTGCGGGAATGTGCGTTAGTCTAGGAATGAGTATGGGCATGGGTATGCATGGTTTAGAGTCGCATTTTGTCAGATCCAGCCCACAAAAAGAAGAAATTGAAGGAACAAACCATTTGTCATCCCTGCTAATTGAATCTTGCAGCCTCTTGTTGTTTTGTGAGCTGTAAAAGCTTGGTGAAGATGTCAAAAGTAGCTTGGATTGGTTGGGTTTCATGGTGGGACAATCTGGAGGCTGTTACAGAACAACAGTATAGGGAAGCAGGATCCAAGCCTCTTGCATGGGCTCGTGTTTTGAAGGCCTACCATAGATATAAGAAAGATCACCATATTTAGTCTTACATACACTCATTTACACCCGTAATCGGACAATACAATATTGTTTTGTGCATTTTTACACAGAAAATGGCCAACATACACTAAAATACAGTTTCTACATTATATCTGGAGTGTGTAAACCACTCTTGAGCCTTGTCAGCTGTCACAGTATGTACAGCCTCAAGCAAAGCGACT